AATTAGTCAGGTGTGGTGACACATGCCTGTAATCCCAGCCACTCAAGAGGCTGAGGCAGGAGAATCACTTGAACCCAAAAGGTGGAGGTTGCAGTGAGCCAAGATCATGCCACTGCACTCAAGCCTGGGCAACAGAGTGAGACTCCGAATCAAAAAAAACAAAAACAAAACAAAACAAAGCAAAACATAGAAACCAACAAGATGAAAGCCACTGTATCTTAAGGAAATGACAGTAGAAGTAAAATATGGAAACCCCATTCAACTTCACAAGCTCCCTCACTAAGATTGATGAAAACCATATCTGCTACAGGGTTGATCCTACAAAAAATGGGAACATAGGTTTTCTTGTTAAAAATGAACAATGGCACATATTGGTGTGAAAACGCGAAATGAACAAGAGTTCAGTCAAAAGCCTCAAACATAGGAGGCTGTGAGCCCAAATGACATCCTCACTAGGAGGAATTTCAACACCACTGACTGCTGCTTAGAGAACATGATCATTAGTTTACGGGATGAACATTGTCACAGTGCCAGTGAGAGACGCTTCTGTGATGCTCCTCAAAAACCAGAATGAGCTGAGCACGGTGGCTCACACCTGTAATCCCAGCACTTTGGAAGGCCGAGGTGGGTGGATCACCTGAGGTCAGGAGTTAGAGACGAGCTTGACCAACACGGAGAAACCCGTCTCTACTAAAAATACAAAATTAGCTGCACATGGTAGCGCATGCCTGTAATCCCAGCTACTTGGGAGGCTGAGGCAGGAGAATCACTTGAACCTGGAAGGCGGAGGTTATGGTGAGCTGAGATCATACCATTGCACTCCAGTCTGGTCAACAAGAGTGAAACTCCACCTCAAAAAACAAAAACAAAACAAAACAAAACAAAAAAACCATGTATGGGGCAAAATCACAAAAGGGAATACAAAACTAGGAAGAGCCAAGACAGACAAGAGCAGACTCCTCATGTCTGCAGGGACATTTTCCTCACCCACAGACTCCAGGTTCCTGTAGTTCTCCAACATCACTTCCCTGTATAAAGCCCTCTGCGCAGGGTTCAGGCATTTCCACTCCGCCAATGAGAATTCTATAGCCACATCCCTGAAAGTCACGCGTCCCTAAAATGAAACACACATTTCCACAAAACATTATGGAGGACGGAGTTATCACCTTCACAGGAAATGAGAAAAGAGAAAATAAGTATTTATTTGATCAAAGGCTGTTCTGACAAAACCACGTTAAGGTGTTTTTGAATATTTTTTCCTCATAGTTGCATTTTATTATACTTTTCCTTCAAAGATTTTAAGATCCCATCAGTCACTACGGAAGTCTCGATCTTACGGAAAATATAAAAACTATATAAATAAAAAGGAAGCACAGGGCTAGGCATGGTGGTTCACGCCTGTAATCTGAACACTTCAGGAAGACAAGGCGGGCAGATTATTTGAGGTCAAGAGTTCAAGACCAGCCTGGTCAACATGGTGAAAACCTATCTCTACTAAAAACATAAAAATTAGCCAGGCTTGGTGGCAGGCACCTGTAATTCCAGCTACACAGGAAGCTGAGGCAGGAGAATCACTAGAACCCAGGAGATGGAGGCTGTAGTGAGCCAAGTTGGCACCATTGCACTCCGTCCTGGGCAACAGACTGATACTCCATCTCAAAAAAAAAAAGGGGGAAAAAAAAAAAGCAAATATAGGGTTTTCTCTAGAGGTATGTCAGATATAATGTTCAACATACCAGGTGATATTAAGTCTCTAGATGAGCTAAGATACAAGTGCTGTTTCAGAGAGGACAAAGTCCAATGACTTTGAAAGAAAAGTCCGAATCAAAAAACTATCATGATCGGTCAGGCACAGTGGCTCATGCCTATAATTCCAGCACTTTGGGAGGCCGAGGCGGGCAGATCATGAGGTCAGGAGTTCGAGACCAGCCTAGGAACTTGCTGAAACCCCTTCTCTACTAAAAATACAAAACTTAGCTGGGCGTGGTGGGGGGTGCCTATAATCCCCGATACTCAGGAGGCTGTGGCCATAGAATTGCTTGAAACCAAGAGGCAGAGGTTGCAGTGAGCCGATATCATGCTATGCACTTCAGCCTGGGTGACAGAGCAATACTCCATCTCCAAAAAACAAAAAAAACAAAAAACTGTCACGATCACAGCAATAGCCATGACTAACATTCTTGAATGCTTCCCGTGTGCTATACACTCTTCTAAGTGCTTCCCATGTCATAAGCCATAAAATAACATACTATCCCATGAAGAAAGATCTGTACTTGGGGACAGCTGCATCACACACACTCTAGGAAACTTGTCACAAATCAAATAGCTAAAAATATCAACACGAGCACCCGAATCCAGATGTCTGGGGTTCACATTTGAATATAAACACCTAAGTAACAGACACAGCTTTAAACTAAACTGACACAGGTTTATCTAGTGGAGAGAATGTGATAAAGGTCAAGGGTGAGAACATGGAGCATCCTACAAGGTCACTGAATAGACACATACAGGCATGCAAATAATCCTCCACAATATTTCTTACTTTTTTTTTCTTTTTTTTGAGATGGAGCCTCACTATTGCACAGGCTGGAGTGCAGTGGCACAATCTTGGCTCACTGCAACCTCTGCCGCCCAGGTTCAAGCAAGTCTCTTGCCTCAGTTTCCCCAGTAGGTGGGATTTGAGGCACCTGCCACCGCATCCATCTAATTTTTGTATATTTAGTAGAGAAGGGGTTTCACCACCTTAGCCAGGCTGGTCTTGAACTCCTGATGTTGTGATCCACCTGCCTCAGCCTTCCAAATAAAAAATACTTAAAATCATTACAATTATAAAAAATAAAACATATTGCAAATGAAAAACAGTTAAAATCATTACAATTATTATAAAAAATAAAACTTATTACAAATGTTGTGTTTTCTATATAAACCACGGGCTTATCCATCCATGTATTCATGCACACACATCCCATCATGCCGTTATACAGGTGGTGGCACGCACCTCTAAACTCAGCTACTTGAGAGGCTGAGGCAACAGAATCACTGTAATCCAGGAGTCAGAGGCTACAGTGAAACGAAATCACACCACTGCACTCCTGCCTGGGCGACAGAGTGAGACACAACTCAAAAAATATTAAAAAATAAAGTTAAATCAATGATGTAATAAAGCCTATCACTGATGCCTATCTCCACTTTCCATTCCATTCCAAATCATTAAAAGTGCAGAGTTTGGCCAACCACAATGGCTCAGGCCTGTAATCCCAGCACTTTGGGAGGCCGAGCTGGAGGAATCACAAGGTCAGGAGTTCGACCAGCCTGACCAGTATGGTGAAACCCCATCTCTACTAAAAATACAAAAAAATTAGCCAGGTGTGGCAGCAAATGCTTGTAATCCCAGATCCTCGGGAGGCTGAGGCAAAAGAATTGCTTAAAGCCAGAAGGCAGGGGTTGCAGGGAGCTGAGATCCCGCCACTGCAATCCAACCTGGGCAACAGAGTGAGACTCCACCTCAAAAAAGTGCAGAGTCCAGCCGGGCTGGCTGTCTCCCATCTGGAATGCCAGCAATTTGGGAGGCCAAGATGGGATGATCACTTGAGGCCAGGATATCAAGGCTATAGTGAGCTGTGATTGCACCACTGCACTCCAGCCTGGACAACAAAATAAAAATACAATGTAAAAAATAAGGCTGGACACGGTGGCACACACCTTTAATCCCAGCACTTTGGGAGTCTGAGACAGGCAGATCACGAGGTCAGGAGTTCGAGACCAGCCTAACCAACATGATGAAACCCCGTTTCAACTAAAAATACAAAAATTAGCTGGGTGTGGAGGTGCGTGCCTGTAGTCCCAGCAACTTGGGAGGCTGAGGCAGAAGAATTGCTTGAAACTGGGAGGTGGAGGTTGCAGTGAGCTGAGATCGTGCAATTGCACTCCAGCTTTAGTGACTGAGCGAGACTCCATCTTAATACAAATAAATAAATACATATATACATTCATTCATACATACATACATAGATATATATAGTGACCCATGCCTATCCTTCAGGCTCTTCGGGAGGCTAAAGCAGGGATTAGTTGAGCCCAGGAGTTTGAGGCTGCTGTAAACTCTGAATTGCGCCATTGTACTCCAGAATTAAGAGTACAACATCTTCTCTCCTCTCTCTTTTTTCTTTTGAGACAGGGAGTGCAGGGGCACAATTTCAGCGTTCAGTAACCTCCACCTCCTGGGTTCAACTGGTTCTCCTGCCTCAGCCTCCTGAGTAGCTGTGATTACCGGCATGCACAACCACACTCAGGTAATTTTTTTTTTTTGAGGCAGAGTCTCGCTCTGTCACCCACACTGGAGTGCAGTGGCACGATCTCGGCTCACTGCAAGCTCCGTCTCCCGGGTTCACGCCATTCTCCCGCCTCAGCCTCCTGAGTAGCTGGGACTACAGGTGTCCACCACCACGCCCGGCTATTTTTTTGTATTTTTAGTAGGGACAGGGTTTCACCGTGTTAGCCAGGATGGTCTTGATCTTCTGACCTCGTGATCCATCCGCCTTGGCCTCCCAAAGTGCTGGGATTACAGACGTGAGCCACCGCACCCGGCCTCACCCAGGTAATTTTTGTACTTTTAGTAGAGGTGGGGTTTCACCGTGTTGGCTAGGCTGGTCTCGAACTTCTGACCTCAAGTGATCTACCTGCCTTGGCCTCCCAAAGTGCTGGGATTACAGGTGTGAGCCACCATACCTGGACCAACATCTTGTCTCTTAAAAAAAAAATTTTGGAGAAAGAGACATGTTGAGCTACTCGTGTGGCTTCAAATGCATTACCAAATCAGATACACAATATCTCCCCTTATTTGTCTCCTTTTCCAGAATTTACCAGATATCTGTGCACATTAACATATGTATTTCATATGTAGTTTCTCTGAGCTGACATCCAGATGTGGTCCCTGAACCATCCAGGCTGCCCAGCAGCACTGACATCCATGGGCCCACACCCCATGTTTATCCATGTCTGGGTGTGAGCCCTTCCCAGGACCGTGCCCAGTGGAGCCTCTTCCCAAGTTCATGTCACTGGGTCACAGGAGATGAAATCTCAGTGCAGATGACAGGAACTGAGGGCAGGCATGGGTGAGTGCGAGCAAACCTGTCAGGCAAAATGCTTCAGACTCAGAAAAGACTGGCTACTACAATACCTGGCATTTCAGAAAGGAAAGAGACAGATTAATCCCCAGAGGAACATCACTTCACCTGAGGAAGGGCCATGTCTGCCTCCTTTCCTTTCCTCTTCTCAGCTGCTTGCTCACGTAACCTGAGTCTTTAGAAATCAATCCTGTATGTGAAAAAAAAAAGTGAGACTTCATGTTAGAAATGACTCACTCCCTTCCCATGACAAAAACACATGAACAGGGGAGACCTCACCCTGTAGAAAGATGGTCCCCCACTGCCCACTGCACCAGAGACCATGAAGAGATAAGAAAGCCCCACAGGAAGACCTGTAAGTGTATGTTTGACCCCGGTCTTCAGATCTCACTCCCCTCCTGGAGAAACCCCCACACACGAGGCAGCAGGGGCAGCTGGGCTGGACTGATCTCCCCTTCAGGATACAGACTCTTCCCTCATCAAACCCCACCCAAAGGACAGCCCCTCATCTCTCTGTGGATCACAGGCTGAGCTCAGCCCTCAGAAACGGGGGACACAGAGCTTCGATGCTCAATGCTGCACACAGATGACAAGCACCTGGGCCACTGCAGCTATTACTGAGGGTGGACTCCAGCCCTTCAGAATAAGAACCCCTGCTAAAGCAGCACAGATGCTCTATTTGTAAAATGCTCTGCAGTCTAATGTGAAGCCAGGGTTGAGCTCCACTCAGAGGGGCGAGCCCAGCACAGCCCCACGTTCTGGCTCTGCTCTCCCCTTGGGGCCTTGTTCTCACTAGGATCCAAATAGCGGATGGCAAAGGCACAAAAGTAATCAAATAGAACAGACAACGTGGACCCGGGGTAGGGCGAAGGCTCAGCTGTGTGTAAGGAAAATGAATTTAGGGCCCCAAATCACTAAGCAAAAGGGAAAAGTCAAGCTGGGAACTGCTTAGGGAACAAGACTCCCCTTCTATTCAAAGTCACCCCTCTGCTCCCTGACATAGATGCATATCTGAGTACCTCCTTTGAAAGGCTAATCAGAAACTCAAAAGAAGGACCCAGCAGTGGCTCAGGACTGTAATCCCAGCACTGTGGGAGGCCAAGGCTGGCAGATCACTTGGGGTCAAGAGGTCAACACCAGCTCAGCCAACATGGTGAAACCCCAACTCTATTAAAAATACAAAAATGATCCAGGCATCTACTTGGGAAGCTGAGGCAGGAGAATCACTTGAACCCAGGAGGCAGAGGTTGCAGTGAGCCAATATCGTGCCACGGCACTCCAGCCTGGGCGACAAAACAAGACTTCATTTCAAAAAAAAAGGAAACTCAAAAGATTGCAACCATTTGTGCCTCAGTTCTCTGTGACCTGGAAGCCCCCACCCTGCTTCAAGTCTTCCTGCCTTTGTCTAAAGTTGGCCACCATGCAGACCAAACTAATGTACTTCTTACATGTACTGACTGATGATGCCGCATGTCTCCATAATATGTGTAAAATAGGCCGGGCGCGGTGGCTCAAGCCTGTATTCCCAGTACTTTGGGAGGCCGAGACGGGCGGATCACGAGGTCAGGAGATCGAGACCATCCTGGCTAACACGGTGAAACCCCGTCTCTATTAA